TTCTAACTATCAGGAAATTTCTCCTCAGTTCTAAGTTGCTTCTCTCCTTGATTAGTTTCCACCCATTGCTTCTTGTTCTATCCTTAGCTATGCTTCCTACTCAAAATCCTCTGAAATTTCTTTGCTTGCTATTTCTTACACTTTCTGCACTGGAACAGTATGATTTTTGTGCTGGTGCTACTCTGTTTCCCCAAAAATAAGACCTCCCTGAATAGTAAGCCCAATCGGGTTTTTGAGCGCATGTGCTAAAAGCCCTCTCCTGAAAATAAGCCTTTCCCGAAAATATTGTAACACAGAAGCAGCCATGAGGTGACCATTCTCGCTGCCTCCTGCACTTCAAAAATAATAAGACTTCCCCAAAAATAAGGCCAAGTGCTTATTTCAGGGGTCAAAAGAAAATAAGACCCTGTCTTATTTTTGGGAAAATATGGTAGTAATTATTGTAATAATTATTATATGAAAATAAACTCAGATTCTATGAAAATAAATTCATGCAAAATGAATGTAATGCAAAATTTAACAGTTTCAACAATTTTATGCATTTTGACCTTTTCCTTATTTTCCTGTTTTCTAGTTAATTCAGACCATGGGGACCTGGAATTATAATGTATGTGTGGTTGATGTAAGGTAGGTGCTTGACAGGATAGAAAAGAAATATACTATCTTCTGCAGAAGGCACTTTTCTAAAAAAAATACTTCTTTTTTTTATAGTGTTGAACCAAGTTCAACAAAAAATGCAGCAAGAGGAAAGAGAAGTGTTAATCAAAGGTAAAATTGTAAGAAATTCTTGAAAAGCTCTAAAATAACTCAAGAAACTTTGTTCTACTTATCAAATGCTAATTGGATTTATGTTTGTTAAATAATTTTGCATGATAATAACATGGGATCTATTTCCCAACATGTCCTTTCAAGTTATTCTTTAGTTACCAGTTTAAAGAGCCAATGTCATAATTCCTTCTCTGAAGACTCATTTGCAGGGAAAATAAAAAGAAAGTTTAGGAAGCACCCAGTAGTTCCATTGATGAAAGATGTTAGTTGAATGCATGTTATAAGGAACCTATGTCCTGAGGTCTGTTGTACAAATAGAGATATTCCTTGATTTACGACCACAGTTGTGCCCAAAATTTCTGTTGCTAAGCAAGATAGTTGTTAAGAGAGTTTTGCTTTACTTTATGACCTTTCTTGCCACAGTTGTTTTGTGAATCACTGTAATTGTTATGTTTGTAACATGGTTATTAAGCGAATCTGGCTTCCCCATTGACTTTGCTTGTCAGAGGATCTCAAAAGATGATCACATGATCCTGGGACACTGTAACCATCATAAATACATGCCAGTTGCTTAGCGTCTGAATTTTGATCATGTGACCATGGGGATACTGTAATGTTAAGTGTGAAAACCATGTCACTTTTTGTAACGTTAGTCTCTAAATGAATACCATGAGAATTACCTGTAGGTATCG